TTCTCCACCTACCCATCCTCCTCCTCGCACTCGTCCTCTCCTCTTTTCCTTTCCTCACCTGGTCCCCGTCAGATGTTCATCTTGGCAATCTTGTACAGTCGCAGATTCAATCCCTACATGCCCTCCTTGGAGGAGAAGCATACGAAAAGGTGAGAGAAGGAGAAAGGGAGGGAAAGAGTGAAGGAAAACGAGGTCGGAACCTCTTCGCAGCAGGCAGTGTAGGAGACACTGGGTTCGCTTGTTCACTTTGCTGCGCCAGGTGATGTCAGAAGTCGATCCCGATGTTGTCGCGCAGTTGTCAAAGTTTGCCAACCAGCAGTAGGAGATGACAATAAAGGAATCAACAACAAGACAAGAACGTCTCATCACAACTCAGGCATTTCGTGGTTTATGTAATATTGAAATCACTCGCTATCTTTCTTAAGACGATGACGATGAAGCTGCTTATAGCTCGGACTTCTTCTTGTCATCATCGTCCTCATCATCCTGCCAACAAATGTCAAGTCTTCGCCTCTTCTCCACCTCCTCCTCTGACATCATCATCGTCGTCATCGGCGGCTTCCTTGGCCTTGCGATCGTCGTCCTCCTTCTTGCGCTGCTCGGCCTCCTCGTCGTCTTTCTTCTGCTTCATCTCCTTCTCGGCCTTCTGGAGGGGAACGATGTTCTTCTCCGCCTGGGCCTTAGCCTGCCGCAACCGTCAGCACATGCTTCTCCTCCTTCCTTCATCCTCCTCTGATAACCCACCCCCCCTACTCGCCTCCCTCCCCCGCCCCCCCATTGCTCCTTCCCCTCGTCCTGCTCACATAGGCAGGGTCGTCGCAGACCAAGATGTTGTCGAAGATGCTGCCAGCCTTGACCTGCCCAGCAAGTCATCACCAGCCACCGACCGACCGGTCACATCGAGGGCCTCGGGCCCTCATACACAGCCAAGAGTGAAGTTTCAGCACAGACTTGCTCAGGGAATAAGCGAACATGTCAAATCATCGGGACAACCAGCTCAACAAGCATCCACGTCTCCTCCTCCTCCCACCTGCCACAACTCGAAGCCAACGAGGCCGTTGTCCTTGACAACGTTGTACAACCTGACGACCACAAGTCAGACGAGTCTTGAGGATGCTACACAGCCACTCACTCAGCATCGTCCACGAAGTCAGGGTTGTCGATCTCGGGGGCCTCCCACTTGCCCTTGTAGGCGGGGTTGGGGATCCTCTTGGGCTTCCACTCTCCCTGGTACTTGGGGTTGTCGATCATGGGGGCCTCCCACTCGCCGTCACTCTCATCGTCCCAGTCGTCAGGCTTCTTGGCGTCAGGATCGACGATCTGCATCCTCGTCAGCCTTTGACCTCAGCCTCTGCTCCCTTCCTCCTCACCTGCTTGGGGATGTCGTCCCAGCCGTCAGGCTTCTTGTCCTTGGGATCATCGATCTCCTCGTTCTCATCCCAGTCATCGGGCTTGAAGGACTGCCATGACAGCGTTCAACGACACGGTGAGAGCAGGAGAGCAGCAACAACACCTTGGGGTCCTTGATCTTCTTGGGGGGGGAGCATGTCCCAGTCCTCCAACAAAGAACCGCTCTCGACCTTGTTCAAGTCGATCTGGACCTCGTACGTGTTGTCCGGGTTGAGGATGAGGGTGTATATGTGAGTGAGCTCGTCGGTCTCAGGCTTGATCTCCTTCTTGATCAGGTGGTTCTTGCCCTTGTAGGTGAAGATGACGTGGACCTTCTTGGTCGAGTACCCGCAGATGTCAGGTCCGAACCTAGAACGGCATCAGCACGTCTCGTCCTCACTCCTTTGCTGTCCAGGCATTACATGATGGAGTACTCGGAGTCCCCTCCCCACTTGGACTGGTCGCTCATGGGGGCGAGCTTGATGTAGCCGCCACCGCAGTCGAGGTTCTGCTCGTGCTTGACAGTGTACCTGGGAGGATCTCAACCAACCGCACCAGAGGTAAACGCTGATAACTCACTGGAGTACGAGCTTCTTGCCCTTGTTGTTGAAGGAGGGGGTCTTGGCGGAGATGTCGTACCATCTGTAGTCGGTCATGGTCTTGATACCTGGGCACGAGCAATGTCAGTCAAGTCGTCTCTACCTCTCCCTGTCCTCACCCTTGTTGTTGGCATCGCCGTAGTTCTTTCCGGCCGAGAGCTCCCAAGGACCCTCATCGCTGGACTTGAACTTGCTCTTAACCCAGCGCGATTCCCACTTGCCATCTGGCAGAAGAATTTCAGTCAGAAGAAAAGACGACTCAAAGGGAGTGTAGGTCCAGTAGAGGGGCGGCAAAGGCACAACATAGCGTCGATCAAGACAACATGAGACTGCAGGGTGCGCACGAAACCTTGATCATACACATGGGCATCATTTGAGGAGGAACAAGGGGTGGATTTTCTCGCATGAGTATGAAGATGAGTGAACGCTCGAACAATCATTCTAAGAGTTCTGTACTTCCATTCACGCTCGAGTACAAGACACTTGAATGACTTTCGAAACGGAGGGAATGGATCACGAAAGAGGACAACACAGCGGGAATCTCGTGGATCAGAGAGGAGGAGGAAGCAAAGATCACCATCGAAGTCCTCCTGGAAGAAAACCTCAGCTCCTGCCGCTGCGAAGAGCGAGAGGAGGAGGAGCGTCTGCCCGAAGCGTGTGCTCATGGCGGCGTTGCCTCTGCTGGTGGAATTGTGGAAGGGGGTGGGGTACATAAAGCGGTCTGTGCTGGGGGTGGCAATGAATGAGCAGGGGTGGGGGTAGTTATCGTGGGGGTAGAGAAGAAAAGGTTTGTTAAACATGGCGGTTTTCAGCGTTTTCCAATTGATAATCTCACGCCAACGTTTTCTGGAATAGTTCAGCATAACCTCAGACGACAAGCACCTTTGCTGGGAATGAGGGTGGTGGTGGCTTCTACTCCAGGACAATAACCATAGGGGGTTCTGGAATAGTCTATGAAGTACCGGTGCCTCAATCTGCTACCCACCAAACTTCCACAAAGATGATTAGCCTGAAGGGGGTGGTAAGGAATAAATATTTCACGAACTGGGGTATGGTTAATGGACCAAGGATGGGTAGGTGAATGCAGAATGTGAATTTGAGGGGGTGGGTAGGATAACCCTGGGCATTCCGGAGGCGGGTGAGTGGGTAGGGTGGTGGAGCACCAAGCAGTGGATCCAAATAAGAGGGTACTTAAAAGGAATTTTCAGGGGGTAGGGGGTGGGGGGTCTGACGTCACCTTCTAATGTGTACCCCAGCTGATTCTTCACAGGGTATAGGTCAACCAGTACGGGTGGGGGTGGGTAATGGGCTGTTGGGTGGTATGAGATCATTGGAATACGGAAACCACCGGTGCCTGATTCAAGGATCAGGGGTCATGTAAATACTTTGTCGCCCTAAGGGGGTGGGGGTAAACAGATGGTGGTAGGGTGTATCATAAGGGACTATTTTTCCCTGTACAGGAATTGTTAAAGAGTAGGTAGGGGTGATATTTGATGAAAGGATGGAGGTGGGTAGTCATCAAGACAGGGGTGTGAAGATGTAGATCTGCAAAAGGGGGTAGTCTGAAATTGAACTAGTGGTGGTCAGGGTGACGTGGACCAAAGCACGTGGGTTGGTGAAGAAAAGAAGGGGGGTCGCTATCACCAATGGTGGGTACTTTGAATTTAGGGTAGTAGACAAGAGGCAGAAGTAGGGTACTAGATGGTACAGATTCCTCTAGAGGACACTGGTAGGTATAAATTGAAAGGGGTACGCTCGCTGAGGGGCGAATGCTTTCCCTGGTGGGGTGGAGTGACGTGGCAAGGAAATCAGAATGTTCTTTCGTACTGTGAGGCGGGCCTGGCCATCCACTTGTACGTATCTGCGGGCCCGGCCCGAGCCCCGGCCGAGCCAGTTGCGCCCGGCACTGGCCGAGTTTGATGAGAGTCGTACTCTTTACTCAAAGTGAAGTGAAAAATCAGTACGAGGACAATCAGGAGAGACGAGGAGGCTTGACCCTGCTCGGACACTGTCGCACAGGCCACTGAACGGCGAGAAGAGAAAAGACCGTACAGCGAGAACCCAACCCAATCCTGCCAACTGCTGTCCCCCAGTCGTACTAGTACTGATTGTCAACTTAACTTTGAGTGACAGATGAGGGTTGGCTCTCCTGCACGCAAGTTTCAAAGTACTCAAAGTTAAGTTCAATCAGTGCCAGAGGACAATCATGGCAGGAGAGTAGAGGAGGCTTGACTCTCCCTGACGCCGTCTGTCGCACAGGCCCGGCCGTAACTTTCCCTCTCCGTAACAGTTTTCTCGAGCCGCCCCGGGCCCGGCCGGCGGGCCCGGAGTCCGGACGCACTGCACTGCTCAGTGCCGGCGGCCCGGGGCAGGCCCGGGCAGTGTGACTCGGATCGCCGGCCCAGGCAGGACAGCCTAGAAGTTCAAATCGAATGCATGAGGGACGCATGGCATCAGCGGGCAAGTTGAAGAAGAGGCGAGTGACTGAACCATGCTCATGCTCATGCTGCTCCTGATCCTGATCCTGATCCTGCTCCTGCTCCTGCTCCTGCTCCTGCTCCTGCTGCTCCTGCTTGTCCTTCTCTTCCTCCTGCTCCTGCTCCTGCTCCTGCTCCTGCTCCTGCTCCTAAACCTGAACCTGAACCTGATAATTCTCATGATCATGCTCCTTCTCGTATCGTGCTCCTGCTCATGATCCTGTTGATGCCTTGCGCTCAGTCGTGTCTATCCCAATCGTCCATCCTCCATTCTCCATCCTCTCTTTCACCCCTGCCCAATTTCATAATTCCATGCTCTCCTTCTCCACATTCCTCCTTTTGTTGCCGGCTCATCATATATGGTGTAGTCTGCTTCCAGAAACTTGTTTCCTTGATCTGTACCTCGTACTCTTCTCATACTCGTCCCGCGTCTTCAGCTTGCGTCTCATTGCCACCATGATGTTTCTGATCGAGGAATCAGGTGGTAGTGCAGTGCAAGCATGAGCTGCAAGGTCACTGTGACAGCATGCCTGGTCATGCTCCTCTTTGCGAGCTCGGGTCTGGGAGAGGATGCGCAGGACTCGGCCCCCTCGCTGAAGCTGCCTGGCTCCCTGCGCTCCGTGCATGGGGGCTGCTTGCGCGAGGGAGTGCAGTCACCGGTAAGATCTATGAAAGCAGCAGCAGCAGCAGCAGCAGAAGCAGAAGCAGCAGCAGCAGCAGCAGCAGCAGCAACATTTCTAACTTTTTGTGCTAGGTCCCAACCAGAGTAGACAACAAGAAGTTCGAGCAAGCTGCAAGAGAAATCTTGTGAGGAAGCTGCTGAAATATGGCAGCTATGTGAACGAGACGCTGACCTGACGCTAAGGGATGGCGATGTGGCGGGACCTCTGCGAATGCCTGCAATCTCCATGCCGCCGCTCAAGGCCGCGCCGATTGCTGTGAACGTGAAGAACAGGTCGAGATGCCCGAAGATGCATGTTGTGAAGCTGGTTATGATCGGGACCTTTGATGATGGTCATAATCATGATGACGAGGATGCTGCGATGATGATGATGTGATGGTGATTGTGACGACGACGATGTTGGTGGTTGTGATGACGACGAGGATGTGATGATGGTGATGGTGATGGTGATGGTGATGGTGATGATCAAGGTAGTGCTGCTGCTGCTGCTTGTAAAGATGATGGGAATGCTGATGATGATGATGATGATGGTGATAATAGTAATTTTCTGCTCGACCTCGACCTGGCCTCTGCCTGTCAACTTTCTAGTAACTTGCGATTTAGAACGACGTATGAGGAAACGAAAGTCAAAGAGCTGCAAGCAAGTTTGGACTCCATCCCTTCCACTGATCGATTGAGTGGGAAGAGAGAGATGAAGACCATCCACGAAGCAGTTCCAGACCTTGTATGGCATTCGATCAATCCCTGTTTATTCTTTCCTCCTCCTGCTCCTCCTCCACTTTCTGCCCCTGCCCCTGCCCCTGCCCCACCTTCTTTGCCTCTTCCTCCTCCTTGGACTGCTCTTGATCCTGCTCCTGTTTTCTCCCCATTCCTGCCCTCCCCTTTCACTCTCCCCCTCCCTCCCTCCCTCGCCTCCCCCGTCATCTTCACCATCTGATGAAGGGTCAGGGCTTCCAACCGGACATGTCAAGGAGATCTCTGCGATCCTCGTCGCTTCCTCGCAGCCCTGACTCTCATTCCTCGCCCTCCATGCTGCCAATCAAGGGAGGATCCGCTGCTGGATACAGGCATCACCTCGCGCTCGTTGTAAGCCGTTGGTTGAGGCGACTGTCGAAGTTCTGACCTTGGTCCCGTCTCCTCTTCCTTCCCCTCCTTTCCCTTCTCTCTTGTCGTCTCCGCTCTTCTCCTCCCTTTTTCCCTCCCATCCTTTCCCTTCTTGTCTCACTGCTCTATTCCCTTCTCTCCTCCCCTCCTACTCATTCCTCCCTCTCTCCGCTCCCTCCTCACTCCCCTGTTCTCCCTCCTCCCGCACTCTGCCATCTCCTCCTCTCCTCTCCTATCCTATCCTCTCCTCTCCTCTCCTCTCCACTCCTCCCTTGCGATCTGCAGGATAGTGGACACCACTCTGTGGTGCGAGCGAGACGAGGGTTGTTCTCAGGCTTGACGTCAAGAATAGGCGAGCAGGTGTGAAGAGAAAAAGCTCTCGTGACATGTTGAATGTGAATGTTCTTTCACAACAATCCTGCTCCTCTCCACTCCTCTCTCTTCTCCTCTTCTCTCCTCCTTTCCTCTTCTTTCCTCCTTTCCTCCTCTCCTCTGATCTCCCCTCCCCTCCTCTCCTCCGATCTCCCCTCCCCTACTCTCCTCTGATCTCCCCTCCCCTCCTCTCCATCGTTTGCCTCGTCTGCCATTCTTCTTTCTGTATTTGATGTTCTCCCTCTCCGTCTTTCTCTATCTTCTTGCTCTCACTCCTTTGCCTTCAGGTCAATCGGCTGTTGAACTACCTGGACGTCGCGGCGTCAGGGCAGGTGAAAATTCCGTTGGGGCATGTCAAAACGCGTCGAGAGTGGCTGATGGCGAATGAGGAAGAGAAAAGGCGGAATGGAGCAGAGGCAGCAGGAGGAGTGGGCTGTGGAGAGAGGGAGGGAGCAAGAGGGAGGGAGGGAGGCGGGGGGAGGGGGGGAGATGAAACGACAGCAGGAGAGGGGCGAGGAGAGAAAGGGGACAAGAGAAAGGTGGAGGGAACAGCGAGGGGAGCGGGAAGGCAAAAGGGAGGGGAGGGGAGGGAGAGAGTAAGGGAGTGTACAGTGCGCAAGAGGGAGGAGAGGGTCACGTGGCCGTCGTCAAGGAGGGTCGAGATTCCGTCTGATCTGCTCGGCAGGTCTCATGGAGGCAGTTCGGAAGCGACTGCCGGCAAGTCGTCAACGAGTTCGTTGCCTTCTGCAGGGCCACCGGTGATATCTGAAGCTCCTCCTCCTCTCTCACGTCTACCCCCCTTCACCCCTCCCTACTCCTCCTCCCTCACCCCTCCCTCTTCCTCTCTCCCTAACTCCGTCTTCCTCCTCCCCCCCTTCCTCCACTCACGTCTTCTGGCAGTCAGGAACACCTTCACCAGCATAGTAGACGCGTGCCTTGACGGCGGGGTCTTTGCGCTCGGAAGGTTCCTGGCCGTCTTCCATAACCTCGCCTGCTACATCTTCGGGCCGAGGTCCCTGTCATTTTGCTCCTCTGCGACGTTCTCGCTGATGCGTTACCACGGCAGTTACTTCTCCAACATGGTGGTGGCGTATCGAAGATCCGGTAAGTCCCTCTTTAAACCCCGTGCTCCCTTCACTTCCCTCCCCTCCCCTCCCCTCCCTCTCCTCTCCACTCCACTCCCCTTTCCGTGTCTTTCAAATCCTCTTCCTCCCTCCTTTTGTCAGAATCTTCTGTTGTGTCCTCCTTCCCTTTCGTCCTCCGAGCATCTCTGTTCTCCCTCTCCTGTCCTCTCCCCTCCCTTCTCCTCTCCTTCTCTCCTTGATCTCTACATCTTTTCTTTACCTCGTTGCTGCTTATCTTCCCCATGCCGCGTCTTCACATCCCAACTCTCCTCGCATTTAGGTCCAATCTTTCGTTTCACACGTTTTGCTGTCGTCAGCCTCTCAAGGTGAGGGAAGAAATTTGCTCGCCATCACCTAGTCCTTCTCCTGCTCCCCCTCTCTCACACCTCCCCCTCCCCTCCTCCCTCCCCTCCTCCCTCCCCTCCTCCCACTTCCCTCCTACTTCTCTCTCCCGTATCTCTTCACTTCGTTCTACTCATCATCTTGCCTATCTGTGTTCGAATGTTTCCTCGGTTTGATTTTCCTGCTTTTGGTCCACCCCTGCTCTGAAAACTTCTTTCGCTTCCACTTCCCCCTCCTCCTCCTCTCCTGCTCCTCCTCTCTTCCACCACCACCATCTCCTCCTCCTCCTCCTCCTCCTCCTCCTCCTCCTCCTCCTCCTCCTTTTTCCCACTCCTCCAGATTGGTCGCCTCCTCCGCTCGCCGCACCATCCACTCGCTCTACGGGCATGTCTCCAGCATCTCTCGCGTGGAGGTCCGAGGAGCGTCTTAGGGCCTGGAAGCTGACGGCCCGGCAGTCTTTCACTCTTCCCAACGTCAAGAACGTCTACTCCGCCGCCTCCAACTTGATTCAGGTAGCTCGTTGGTTCCTTGTTGAGCGATGTGATGCGGGTGCATGATATGGAGATGAAGATGACGATGATAATGACGATGATAATGATGATGACGATGATAATGATGATGACGATGATAATGATGATGACGATGATAATGATGATGACGATGACGATGGAGATGATTACGATTTTCTTGATCATGACGGTGGTATTGGATGTGGCCCAGCAAATGTAACAACTTCATGTGACAGAGAACCATCTGGGGGGATCTTGCTCCTCATCTACAAGAGCTCGATGCTTGTCTTGCTCGCCAAGGGTGAGACCTCCTCCCTCCCTCCCTCCCTCCCTCCCTCCCTCCCTCCCTCCCTCCCTCCCTCCCTCCCTCCCTCCCTCCCTCACTCACTCACTCACTCACTCCAACGACTCTCAATTCTCAGCTCTCCCCCCTTCATGATATGCTTCTTCCTCCTCACAACCCCGCAGGCTACGGCAGGAGCTTGTAGACGGAGATGGCAACTGCTTTTTCCATGGTCCTACTCCTCCTTCCCTTCCACCTCTCCCCTCTTCGTCCTTCCCGGCTTCCTCCTCCTCCCCCCCCTCCTCCCCAACCTCTGCCATCTCCTCGTCCTCCACTCGTTTGGTTCGGCTGAACCATGAGTCTGCAGCGCTCCTCTTGCAGCTCAAGCATCACTCCGTCCCTGTCGATCCTTCTCAGAGCAGAGGGGAGCAGGAGAGACGAGACTCTCCCAGCGAGAGGTGAGGCGGCTGAACCTACCCCAACGTCCTCCTCTTCTCTCCATCTTCCTCCCCTCCCCTCCTCTCGCTCCCTCGTCCTTTATCTCCCCTCCTCCAGTGTCTCTTCCTCTTCCCCCCTCCCTTTCCCCTTCCTCCTCTTGCTCACTATCATCGCAGGCCCGTGTCCTTGCTGAGGAGACAGGTTGTGCAATACATGAGGTCAAATCCTCAGCTCTTTGAGAATTATCTTGAGACTGGCGAATCTTTTCAAACTTATCTGGTAACCCTCCCTGTCCCCTCTTCCCTCCCCTCCCCCTCCCCTCCGATCCTTACGCTGCACCTCTCTCTTCTCCTTCTCTCCTCTCTTCCTGCCAATCTTCTTCTCTCTGTGTTGAATCTCTTGGTCAGAACCGCATGTCGAACGATGGAGAATGGGCAGGTTGACTCTCTCGCCTCCTCCTCCTCCTCCTCCTCTTTCTACTCACTCCTCTCCTCCTCCTCTGACATGATGGGCAGGAGAGATGGAGATCGTCGCCAGCGCCTTCCTCTACGACGTCTGCATCGTCTGCTATGCTGTAACTTTGCTCGCCTATCCAGCACCCTCTCAACTTCCTGCCAGGTGACCGCTGGAGGGCTGGCAGAGTACAAGTACAACCCGAACAAGGACGAGGACGGGGACGGAGAGCCTCGTAGTCTTGCTTGCAGGAGACACGAAATCCCCTGACGGATCGGCAGGCAAACCGCGTCCTACCCTGAGGATCTGCCTCTGGAAGCAGCACTACTGGTCGACATGCGCTGCCGCCGATGAGCAGGACGAGGGGGAGGTGAGGCCGGCCCCGGGGGATCATGTGAGAGTATGCCGCTGAGTGCCTTCACCGTAGAGCTCCACGGCTGCTGCTGCTGAGCCCAGCGCTGGAGAAGCTGAGAATGCCGAGGAGGATGGGGATGTATGGGGATGAAGGAAGAAGGAGCGACGGGAGCGTCCTGCTCCGGATAAATATCAGTCAGGATCATGTCATGAATCGTTCACCTAGTTGAATTTTATTGCAATGATGGTCGGCCGGACATCATAGTACAACTTTGAAGTTACAGCGTGTGCCGGCCCATGACTCCGATCCTGAGTGGTGATCGGACCGTCAGGCTGCGTCCGGCCGTCCGATCGGACCGTACAGTTATAATGCTAATGGCAGCCGGCGGTCACAGTGATCGGATCGACCGTCGGGGAGCGGCGTCGCAACGGTTGAACGGCCGCCTACTAGCAGGTCGGCGTGGTGCCGGGGCGCCGCGCGGGGGTGCGGGGGCGAGCTGCCTCAGTGGACAAGGCAGCTGACGCCGGCCGCGGGCTTGCCATGGGCCACCGTGCGCGGGCGCTCCTTGCCCGTACCCGGTCCTGAGTCTGTCGCCCTGCCGGCGGCCCCCCAGGCGGGCGGCCCCCCGTGCCGCCCCCGGCGACGGCGACGGCCGGGCCCTGGCCCCGGCGGACCATCGGGCCGCGTAGGGCCTGCGCTGGCATGCCAAGTTGCAGTGTCACCCGGGAGCCTGGCCCCCGCGCAGTGAGCGGCCCCGGCGGACTCCGACTTCGGCCGGGCCGCGGCCCGCGGCGGCGGGTGCGGCTGCAGAGTCGCGGGCGGGAATAAACTTACTGTTATATAGGACAGTGTCAGGGTCAAGCCTCCTCGACTCTCCTGATTGTCCTCGTACTGCTTTTTAACTTAACTTTGAGTAAAGAAGTTATATCGGACGGTCAGAACTTCAACTCCGGTGGCTTAACTTTGAGTTAACAGGGCCCGGTGGCCAGTCAAACCGCCAGGCTGCGGCAACTTTTGCCATCATTTTCCGGCCCCCCTCGGCGTTCAAGTTCTGAGCAGCCCGGCCGCCGGGCGGTGCGGCGGGCCCGGCACTGACCGGGGCCGCTTAGTTCGCCGGGGGGCGCCGGGGGGTCGGGCGGCGCTTAGTGACCGGTCGTTCGGATTTGAAGTTTTTAAGACTTAAAACCATTAACTGTTAACAGTAAGATGAAAACCGTTGAAGTCGTTCAGTGTTTACTTTTGTGGGGGGCTTGCCTGAAAAAGTACCCATGGGGTAGTACCCACGCCGATGACAGTGTATCTGACTGAAAATGGGGGTAGGGGCCCTGATCGGACTCGTGGCACGGTACTACGGTACAGGCTACGACCTTTGAGTAAAATCGCAGGGTACCGTCACGGTAGAAGCCATTGAACCCGGCTACTCAGAGGGGCCGGGGGTCAGGCTAGTACCCTCTCAGTATCTGGGGCTGCGACCGGTGGGACGACGGTGACTACCTGGTACGGTAAAGGGGTGGTCACGTAAAGTGGGGTGCCGATACTCCGAGCCGAGGGAGGGTGCGAGCGGAGTTTAGGTCAAGTACCCTGCTGTTGTAGGCAGATCAATTATGAAATGGAGGGGTACTCTCGGGGGAGATGGGTAATACCCGGTTCCCCGCGGTTGTCCCCCGGCCGAGTCCGAGCCTTTGAGTATGACCCACCCTGGTCCTTTCCACTGTCATTGGGGGAATGAAGGGGGTGGAACAAGTCAGCCTGGCACACTCGAAATCCCGGAGTCCGGGGGAATGTGCAGTGGGTGGTGCTTTGAGTACCCTGGGGTGGTCAGTGACATTCGGAAGATCTTCCGAAGTTCGTATTCATGGGGTGGGGGTAGTGTGTTTATCCTTTAATCGACAAAAGGACTCCCGAAGGAGTCATGGACCAGCATGACAGGGGTCATTGATAGGTTTCAATCACCCATCCAATGGGGCTGTATGAGGGTCTTAAAAAAGAAAAAAAAAAAAACTTCCCGCCTCCGACGGAAAGTTTGTGGCTCTCGTTTCATCTTCCCGCCATTACAGAGTTTGCGGTCCGACAATACACTGAAACGATGGTAATGAAAAAAATGTAGCGACTACCTGCTATCTAACATGGTTTCGCCAGACTAACATACTATAACATGCCGAGGAAGAGAAAACGAATTACAGATGATTCAGACAACGGTCAAGAAATAAGTTATTCAAAACCATTCACGAGAGTCGTCAAATGTGGGTTATACTCGAGACTCAAGGTAGAGAACAGATCGATTTTAGACGTGATCGACAGATGGGTATTACATATCAGTCAGATCACATCAAGAGGCAGTATGATATTCAACTGTTTTCTGATATGGGGCAGGGATACAGGGAATTTACGATATGTAGTAGATGAAATCAAGAGAGCCAAATCGACCTTTTTCTGGAATGTTTTTACACTTGGAATGGAACAACATAGCCGTACAGATAACAAGTATCCAACTCTACAACGTTTCTGGTCAGAGAAAAGACATCTTTTCGTTGATTTATGTAGAATTCGAGGAGACTCGCAAGCTATTGTATTCGCTGCAAATCAATATGGAACGAATTTCTACCAAGACCTGAAAGCAAATTTTACAAACCGATTGGAAAAGTTCATTGCCGAATTCTGCAAAGGAGAGTTACATATTAACCATCAGCAAGAAATCGAAGACGTGAAGAATGTATTGTTTCAAAGGAAAGATTACGAGTTGAAGACAGAAGTGTTTAACAGGAATAATTCACAGCAGATAGGAACCTTCATCGACCATATGAAACAACTAATTGGATTATCGGGGGACGAAGATCTTTTTAGTTTCAAATATGACAAATTTGATCATAGGTTGCAGAAAAATCTGTTTGAGATAATCGAGACACACATGTTCATGTTGAAGTTCTTCGAAGATCGTGGTCTCTCGAAAAAAACATTCAAGGCAGCACCAATGTCGAAATTCGGCAGAAAACATCTAACAATCGATAATGATGTGATGTATTACATTTTGAAAGAAGCGAACAGTTTGAAACCGGGAGAAGATAAAAAATCGTTCATGAGAATAGATCAAACTTTGGAGAACTCTAAGAATTTCAGAAGGATTTTCGACTGTTCGAATCTGTTCAGAGATCAGAGAGAGGAGATTACAAGTATCACGACAGACGGTGTATCGGTTTGTTTTCGATTCACGTTAATTGTCAAAACAATCGATGGACTCGAACAGGAACCTTCATTGCGCACTACCAAATGGCTTGCCGATAGAAAAAGGGCTGAACGGAAATCGGCGAAGAAGATATCAATATCATACAAAGTATTACATGAAAATTCAGAATACCAAAGAGAGATCGAAGAATGTAAAAATTGCCCAAGGGTAATTGCGATCGACCCTGGGAGGAGCGTCATTATATCGGCCGTCGAACAATTCAGAGATGATCAACAAATAATCAGAAAAAGATTTCAGTTTTCGAGAAAACAATATTATCACGAGTCACATCTGAATCGCAATAAAAAGAAAAGAAAGACGTGGGATCAAGATATTCAATCGACATTGCAATATCTCAAGGGGTTCTCGAGTAAGTCTGGCGGCAGTCTATCAAGATTCGAAGACTATCTTCTTGCAGTTACAAGTCATTGGGAGGAGTTAACTTCGCATTATTCAAAGCGAAAATACGCCAGGATGAAATTCGACATCTACATTTCGAAACGAAAGTCAGTCGACAGGTTTATCCGTACAATGAAAGGAAAGGGAGAAATAGAACCTGTTATCGCATATGGAAATGCAAGGTTCCCGTCTACAGGACGTCGAGGAGAAAGGCCTGTACCGGTCAGGTGGATAAGAAGAAGATTCGAGAATCACTACAGAGTCGTAGATGTTGACGAATACCGTACTACCAAGTGCTGTAACGATTGTGGTTCTGAGCTCGATGTGCTTCGACGGATTGAAAATACAGGGAAAGAACCAGACGAGACCTGTAGGTTGAAAACAAGGAAAAGTGAAGTACGAGGATTGAAATTTTGCAGATCATCGAGGTAATGTCAAGTTTTGTATACTCCTGTAATTCACCTTTTCATCTAACTGTTATCGTGACAGCTGTAAAGGAAAGCCGATCAAATCCAGGGACTTGAATGCTGCACTGAATATACTCACTTGTTTCAATGTGTTTCCTGAAAGACCGAATCACCTACGTCGCCCCTGAGGTGAATTCAATGATTGTTGTCGCCCCCTCCCTACCCAGACTGCGTCCCTCGGGACTCGATGCCTAATTCCCTGCCTGCCTGCCTGCCCGGTGCCTGCCTCCATTATGATCCGATGTTTACGACATGTGATCATTGAAGTGACTGACTGGCATCATTTGGTAGGATTCATGTAAGGCTCCAACAACATCCGAAGACAATTTGGCAAAAAAAAACAACTGCCGTTGTATGACGGAGAGTCGCGGCTCTCAATCATACGACGGCAGTTCTGTGCGAAAACTTAGTTCGTCGTTCAGAAGGGTATTCACATATTCCGTCACATCATGAGGGAGAGTACCCGTGGTAGATAGATTCGTGGCGTTTATCTATTATCAAGTCTCTCATTAGCAGCCGCCGTATCACCTGAGGGGTAGGGTGGCAGTAGGTCCTTGTATCACCGGTGCTTTTCCCTGCCTGTTCTATTCGTACCTCCACCGGTAGTAACAGTTCATCGGCGCAATGGGTTTGTGCCGGGGGTTACCTTAGGGGGTTCCTGAGGGAATGAGGGGTGGTTGGGCGTAGTAGAAGGGGTGATGAAAAGGCTCAACAAGTCGAGGGGTGCGGAAAATGTTAAGGATACACATAGGGTGGGGTAGGGACGGCCGGGGTTTCCGACGCACTCTATGAGTAATGAAACAGGGGGTAGGGTAATGATCTTCATCGCAGTCACGGTAGGGTGGGGGTAGGTCAACTAGGCTCGGGTCCGAATTGTAGGTCTTTGGTTATCGGAAGTTGGGCATGATAGGAAGGCGAGGAGGAGGAGAAGCAGCAGAAACATGAGGAGAAGGAGAAACAGGAGGAGGAGGAGGAGCAGTAAGAGCAGGAGGACTGTCAGAAGGAGCTGGAATGGTAGAAGAGGACCGGGAGGGGCGCAAGTAGCCTCGGAGGGCCAAGAGCCCTCCGAAATTGCTGTAAGGAAGAACTGTTTACGATAAAAACTGTTGAGGAAACGACGTAGTTGATGAGATGATGGAGTAGGGCACAAGATGATTCGAGAATGTTGATGAAGGATCTATTGGGTGTGCAGATCAGGCTTGAATAGATCAGACTTCGTGCTGATGTGAAACAATTCAACATTTCTACTCCTTCCCTTCTGCTTGAAAGTTGGGAATGATGATACCCAGAAAAGAATGTTTAAGTTCTTTCTTCTTCTAACGAGAAATTAAGATTTGTTGTTAGTTGAGACAGTCACTAACACAAAGAGGTTCAATCGTGCTTGTAGCTCTGTCAAGGCTCCGTTGATGTGCATCTAACAGGACGAGGCGTCGCCTGTTGATGCTGGTCTTGCCAACAATCAGCTGAAGTCGTGAACATTTTTTTTGCATCCATTGGAGTTTTGTTGGGATATTTGTAATCGACATCTGCTTTCCTGCTCCATCCACACGACACACTTGATTGAGATACCATCTCTTCTGCCATCGATTCTTGGACACTGATTGAGGTCAGTGCAGGATGTTGGACGCTTGCTTTATGACGATCTTGCAACCAGGGTACTGGAGGGCTGCACTGAGTCTATGACGGTGGAGTTCTCAGACCAAGGGATCTACCCGAGGAGAGGAGGGAAAGTAGAAGTTGTTGTCCAAAAGATGGTCTGCAGCTCGCGTGCACGTGGCACGTCCTCGTCCTCGTCAGTGTTCTCAACGTGAGTGTAGCCGGAGGTCTCGGCGGGCCCGGCCTCATGGTTCACTCCAGGGGATCCGTGACGAAGCATCCTGCCAGCAAAGCGAAGGCCGCGGTCTACTCCGGTGACCAGTGAAGTGCGAGCTAGAGGAGCGGGAGCTGACCGTTGGAATGATGCGCAGAGGAAGACGTGGACACCCTGCCTCTTGGAATCATCTTCTCGCACGCGTACTCTCGTTGCTGCTCCCGCTCCCTCACCTGTGACTCTGAACCTCCGCAGCATCACTCGAAGTGGCAAGTCACACGTTTACTCGCACAAGATCGTCCAAGTCTTGAAGCAGTCAGCGGCTGAGCGATGTGGGCTGAAGGCGAACGACGTTCTTGTCAGTGTGGACGATGAAACTGCAAGCTTCCTCAACCAGGTGATCGGTTCATTCTCGGATGTCGAACTCTGACTCTGCAATCGGAAGAGCGAATTGAGATCCAGGTTTGAAGGGATGAAGCGGGGGGCGATCAAACTTGAGGTTTCTCGGCAACTCCCGACTGAGGACGGGCCCAAGTATGCACATTGTTGCGTGTCTGCAATCTATTCCATGACAGTGACAGTATGCGCTGAGCAGGTCTTGCAATACGATCATCACCCTGTCTCGGTCTGTAGACATGCACTTGTCATGCTGGGACAGGAAGAGCGATGAAGAAAGCTCCGTCAGCGCGCTGTCTCCGACACATGCAAGAGCGGAGCAACAGGTCTCATCTCTTGCTTGTGGGAATGGAAGGTTCATGATCTTGTTCCAGATGACAAATGAGCTGGGCAAGGACAGCACGGGTCCTGAGCTTGTTCTGATCGGGTGATGCACATATGCAAGCTATCCTCTGCATGATTAATGTCTTGACCATGTTTGTCCTCCAGGCATCACACCAGCTTCAATGAATCACCAGCAACCAGTCACCTCACGATCGATCAGCATGCATTTGCAACGGCGGACCACAACAAGAGTTGGTTGCGCACGGCCAGCGCACAGGACGAGAGCGACGAGACGGGAGAGCTTCACGTCAGTTTTCTTTGCGCTTCCTCGGCCTGCTGGACCTGATGCTGAAACAGGAGGTCCTGGGCGTCCACCATCGTCCACCACCAGATGTTTCTTTCCCCTTGTGCTCTCCTATCATGACGGGAGGGCTGATTCCAAAGTTGGACCTCAAGTCAGCCAGACCGCAGGTGAGCCCTTGACCTCCTCCTCTCTGCCGTCCTACCTCCTCCCCGACCCCCCTGCCGTCTTGCCCCTCCCCAAGCTTCTGCGGATCCCTTACACGAGCGCTTTTTTGTGCAGAAGGAGGAAGAAGGAAGGAGCTATTCCAACTCATCGTATCAAGTGACCAAGACCGTGATCTCTCAGGCAAATGCCGATGATGGAGTTCGTATGAAGATGACTCGTGTCTCCGCAGCAAACCTCAACCCTCACCTTCGGATCCCCTCGCAACGGCAAGAGCCAACGAGCTACTAGTGTGAGGAACATCAGGGTACGTTCTTCCACTCTTCTGCCTCTCATCTTTGCTCCTCTTATCCCTACCTCCTGTCCTTCCATGATCCTTGACCATCATCTGCAGCATCCGGCAGCTCAATTCCAGACGATCTACGAGCTGGCGTTGTGAACTCACCGCTCATGGAGAAAGCGGAACACAGTTGTTCGAGTCGAATTGAAAGTCTGCGGGAAAACTTCAAGACAAGAAGTGTTCCTGACTAACACTTACATGCAAAACCAGTTCCACAATGTTGTACTCTATTGTGAATATTCAAGATAGCCATAGGAGCAGGATGACTTTGCCGTACCTGTTCGCATGTTGGCGGGATCTATCATCACCAGCCCGTTGCATCCCTAACGTCTGGTTAGGAGGAGGTGCGTGACGAAATAAATCAGATGCGAGAAGCTCTTTTCACCTCCATGTGCCGAAGGAAGATGTCGTTAACGAGGACGGTGACCTGACATGAAGTGCCTGCTGTTGGCAACTCGTCACGTCACCCCCTCACATCTCCTCAGCCGCACCGAGCCTGAGGATGGAAGAGCCCTTGACGGCGAAGTCCAGCTCGAGGGCTCCGCGGACCGGGGAGGAGGAGTCGTTGGCTGGGCTGACGACGGACACACGGGGAAGATCCATCGACATCCTCCTCCCCTTGGACCGCCATAGCTGATGCATCGGGCTCATTCCCGTGTATGCCCTGGTGGCCAGCAGGAAGTTCCGCCGGACGGAAGGATACAGCTCGGCGTACAGCTCAGGGCTCAGGTTGTCCAGCAGCTGGGCGAGCTCCTCCACCGTCTGGAAGGAGAGCAGACCCGACTCGTCGAAGACGTCCCCGATCCTCTCGCACCCCCAGTAGAGCGGGACGGTCCCGAGGACGAGGCAGTCGAGAAGCTTCTCAGTGAAGTAGCACTCCCTCCTGTTGTTCTCGATCACCAAGTGGAACAGGTAGGGACCAATCGCAGAGTGCTTCTCCGGGAGGGGCCTGTGCCCGGCGCCGTAGATATCACCTAGCTTCCCTCCTAGCGACGCCAGGACGTCGTGTCGGAGTCGCTGTCCTGTCGTAGACCTCTTGGAGCTGACGATGGCTGAAACCAGCCTGCTCTTCGTCCCCATCAACTCAGACGCGTCCGAGGGGTCTCGGAAGAAACTGTCGGGGAGGAACAGCGATGGGTCGATGGAGGGCACGGCCGCGTTCACAAACATCCCCTTCTCTCCTGATTGCACGACAAAATCGTCCTCGTGACTTAAGATCAGGTCGAACTTGTGCCGGTTGTTCTTGACATACTCGTAGCAAGACGGACACACGACCCTTGGCTCCACTAGCCATGCTGCGAGCAGGTCAGCATGGCGCCACGAGTCTACTGTGCCGAGCTCGTAGTCGACCAGGACGATCAATCTCATGGAGTCCTCCGGCGGTTCAAACTGATCGCTCCCTCTGCACGACAGCCTCGAGACGGAGAATTCCTCGTGCCTTCCGACTTTGAAGCGCTGCGTGTCGTTGATCCATGCCTGCTGCCGGCATGACGAGAAGGAGCTCTCAACCAGTGTTAGATCCCACCACACGTCCTTCATCATATTCTGATCGTCGTCATGCTGCTCCTCTGCCCCGGCCTCGCTCTCCTCACACTGTCCATCAGCCGCCGCCCACAGCAGAGCGCTGTCCTGGAACATCCGACGAGAGGTCAGGAAGGTGCTTAAGGAAGCGATGGTGGAGGAAGGAGGTGAGGTATGGGTGGAGTCTGAGAGCTGATCCTCACTCCTCTTCTCATCTGCCCTCATCTCCTTCATGCACAGCATGACGGCCATGGCCGCCAATAGCCGCATCGCCATCGCCATCGGCAAGCAGGACAAAGTTCTCTCAGTAAAATTCGGCCCAGGTGTATCCGGCAAGCCGGGCCCGGCCCGGCTGTTGCAGTTACAAAGCGTTACATCTCAAGACCTCGCAAGAGGACATGCCGGAAGGAGTTTTACGTTACGACCGTTACAGTAAACCCACACCGGTCGTACAACGGGGATCAACGGGGTCAGTCACGAGGAGCTAAAAGCAATGCAGTTATTGAGTTTTAAATACAAAAGTATTTATAAACACCCATCGACCTCGTGACTGTGATAAACCATCCGGTGGGGGAAGGTGAGGAAGAGGGGGTGGGGGTGGTTTCGGATGGGAGTCGCAGTCAAGGTTGACGTGCCGACGAAGGGTTCAAAAGAAAAACAAATCGAAAAGAGCTAGTTTCGATATCCACGGTCAAGAATGGAAAGGGACAGCAAAAGTAGAAATACACAGTTCGGGCTTAATTCTTTCTGCCCTTATCAGTCTTTACCACCCTACCCCAGTCTCTATAATTTACCCACCATGTTACTAAGTACGTATAACACACCAAACCTGTCGTCAGAGCATGACGGGGTTGGGGTCCTTGAAGTTATACCTCTGATCCCTTGGGAAATGGGGTGGGTAGTGGTTGTTTAATACAAAGGGTCGGGGTCGGTAGTACCACCGGCCCCGGGTTCCATCTCCCCGGCACAGTACCCCCCCGGCACAGCGAGACACGTTAATACCATTTTCAGACTCCCATTTATCTTGCTCTATAGTGGAGCATTTCTCGATAAAGTTTATATTAAAATTGAGACATCCTTCCATGCTCCAGTCTTTTTCTCTCTCAGGATCGCCAGTTTTCACCCACTACCGGTACTCTTTCCTTCAATCCATCCGATTTGAAACTATCTGTCATTACTACCCCTCCTGTCCCCGTGACCTTCCCCTTCAACCTTGAGATTTGCGGAAAGAAATTAGGACTACCGGTTGAACACTACCCCCACCTCCCATGTACCCCCCAGTTGTCTTGGGGACCCCTTTTCCCCAACGACCCCCACCCCCAAATGGCATTCACCGCCTTCTTGCTTCTGAAACATTGTTGTTTTGTTATACCCCTCTTCTTGACCACCCCACCCTTCCAGCCCTGCAGCCTCACAATGCCTCACTTGAAATACCCACCCCTACCCCTCTTTCTCGAGCACCTTCAGCAACAATACCTGTACCACCCATGCAGTGAAAGGAAAAGTGCCGTCACTACCCACCCTTTATAGCATTTTGACCTCAGCGTAGACCACCCCACCCACCAAACCTCGACGTAACTCAAACAACCCCCAAATTCTCTATAATACAATGTACCCCTACCCCCTTTTTCATAGACAGACTACCCCTCATGTTTCCTCAGACGATCGTCCTCTCCCTGCCGCATGTCGGGCGCTGTTGCAAGGCACTACCATGCCGTGAGGGCCTCGTCGTCCTCTCGCCTCCTCCTATCCTCCACTATAACACAGCATGCCTTCCCCGCTATTCTGTGCTTGCTTCCTCCAAAACTGCGTCTGTTTACAACTCATGAACCGCATGCTTTCCCCAGTCAAATGTAGGCATTCGCACTGGCTGGGCGTTTGAACAACTTCCCACGCTTCTGCTGGTTCCACCAGCTATCTGTTATGCTGTTAACTCGGCCTAAAACCTCTTAGCGCAGCCGAATGTTACAGGGACTTTTGGGAAGGATGACAGGCAGGAGCAGGACTACTCGCTAGGTGTAGCAACACCAGGGGTCATTGTGTGCATGAGCGATGATATAGATATTTCATGCATTTTGGTTGCAGTCCAGGAGGAAACTGATCGAAAAGGATGATCGTTGTAGACCAATTAACTAGCTTCAGAAAGCTACTTCTTCATACGTTCTTTGCAAACTTGTTTTGTACCACATGGCAGTTTTATTGTGCACGCTATACTCAAACTATCTCCTTCTGCATGTGATAAGTTACTCTTGACGCTTCACCAGTCGAATTTATATATACTTATTCAGTTAAACACAGTGTTTATGTCAGATAGTTGTTCATACAAGTTGTATTTGGTTTTCTTGCATTTGAATGCTAACACCATGGTTTCGTCAGGGTACCGATATGTCCTGCTGATAGTCATAGAAGCTTTGACCACCATCACGAATACCCCGATTCCACAGTCGTGAAATATTTTGTCAGTTTGGTCAAGCTGCACTTCGAGTCTGGGGACTCGGGGAGACACCCTCGCCTGAAATTCGTGTCAAGCAACGCAGCAACTTCATTGATACAATCCAGGGCTCAGGCCCGCATGTTTCAGTATCAAGCCTGCAACGAATGTTTGTGAACTTCTATCTTTGCAGATGAAACAAGAATGCTGTAAACCTTGACTTTGCTGTGGTCACATCAATGCATGTGTCCAGAGAATCTCCGTCTCCCATACATTCGAGTGGGAGCTCAGGAAATCTCCGAGAACTGGGGAGCTGGGACAGTCTGGATGACAACTACTTCACCGATGAAGAGAGGAGGGAGTTGACACCTGTTGTCCTCGCAGAGCAAAAACAGATTGAGAGGACAGCCTTTGAGAACAGGAATGAAAGCTTCACCAGCTGGCATCGAGGCAACAAAACTCTGAAATACGGGGGTAGCGGAGTTGTCTATGTTGCTATCGATGATGTTACTGGCCAACTCATGGCCTGCAGACAAGAAGCCGCATCGGCAAATTCCAAGGCTACTGACCGCTTCATGCGAGAGATGAATACCCTAAGGCTGCTACGACATAACCACATCGTTCAGTACAAGGGATCGTGTGTCCGAGACGGTAAACTATGTGTGTTGATGGAATTCTGCGATGGAGGAAGTATTGCATGCATTCTCTCACGGTTTGGGGCTCTCAGCGACCGTCTAACAGCCAGATACACACGGCACATCCTATCTGGTCTGGACTACCTGCACAGGCACTGTATCGTGCACAGAAACATCACTTGCAGTACCTGCTTGGTCACGACTTTGGGTGTGGTGAAGCTATCTGACTTCGGTCAAGTGCGAGTGTATGCTCCCCATCAATCGCAATCGTTTGAGGGGACGTTGGGATACTCTGCTCCAGAGGTTTTTATCAAGGGAGTGTTTGCGCGACAGTCGGACATTTGGAGTTTGGGATGCTGTGTTTTGGAGATGTTGACAGGTGCTCTGACCATGGAAGATGTTCCTCCGGAAGAAGCTCCCGACCTGGGATCGGGAGCGAAACGATTGTTTGCAAGGCCAGCGATCCCCAAGGATCTGAACGAGGACGCGCAACGCTTCCTGGACGAATGCTTGCAACCCACCTATACTAAAAGGCCGTCAGCTCGAAAACTTTGTACATATGCATTCGTGCAAGAGGGTCTGTTGTCGACAGGGAGCGACAGTCATCCGGTTCTGCCAGGAGATCCGGCTGAGATGTCGGAGAACATCGCGTCTCCAGACGCGCTCCTGGAGATGCAAGCTCCTTACTCCCCTCTAGGATGGTTGTACCAGAACAAGAGTCACCGCAACACGGCGCTTTGGTTCTGCGAGCAGGAGGTAAGCAAATTTTGGTAGTGTTGGAGGAGGGGAACGCGATCGGGGGAAGGCTACAAAGTTGTTTATTTTGTGTGGGAACTAACTCGATACGGTTCAGGTGAAGATAGAGCATTTCTTTGGGCGATACGAGGACCTTGAGCTCGAGAAGGCATATCAGAAAGAGTTCTACTCGACCATCTGTGAGAGCTTGCCTTCCTCTCACTCCCCTTGACACGAGTCATGCAGGCATCCGACTGAGAAACTTCGCTCGTGTGCTGGTAGCACCAACGTTGGGTTTCCTCTTCGTGTACGGGTCCTGGTCGTACAGTCTGAAGAGATTGTTTGCGATGGGGTAAGACAGGGAGGATGCGGGAAAAGGGAAAGCAGGCAATACCGAAGGGGGGGGTGTTGGAGCTGAGAGCGGCGCAGCGCGAGGGTGGGGTAGTCGGGAAGAGTTGGAGGGAGGGAAGAGAGCATGGGGGCAGGGGAAGGGACAGAGGGAGGGGCAAAGAAATTCTCTGACATTGTCACGCAGCTTGCTCGTCTTGCTGGCACTGTGGAGTGTGGGGGTAGGATGGATGCCTCTGAATGGCAAGTGGAGCACAGACCTAACACAATCGACTAGAAATCTGTTCCGAATCTTCCAGGTGAGAAAGAGCTTGTTGCGGACAGCGGGCAAGGCTGATGCTTGCCGTACGTCAGGCGATTGTGATCGTGATCTCGTGGGAAGAGTCTGCTGTCGTCTGCTTCCTCATCTTCTGCGCCAACTCTTGGCTAGTGAGGCACATCTTCTTCCCCAGCGAGGTCACCCGCCCTTGTTTGCCTGCTGTCTCCTCCCCTGAGCGTCGGTGCAGGCGGTCCCATACTTTCTCCTCTACCTCCTGCTGAGATACCTCAACGTTGCCATCGACTTCTTCAAAGAAGGTGGACGGATGTGCTCGTGCGCGTGCAGGCTGTGCTGACTTGCGGGATGCAGCGAGTGTGAAGGAGGACATCGAGGGGGTTATGGAGGGAGCTATGACGTCGTTCATGTCTTACTCGTGCTTGGTATGTCTCTCAGTCTCTTGCTCCTCCTCCAGCGCTGCTGACAATGACGTCCAGGTCGCGCTCTGCCTATGGGGACTGAAGATGACATCACTGCAGAGTAGAGATCACTTCGCAAGTCACTATTTGTGATGGACCAGCGATATTGATCCACCTCGTTGATGTGTCGGGCTGGTTTCTGTTGTTGCTGCCCCGGCTGTTCCTCCAGGGAGCTGAGCAGTCGGGTGTGAGATGGCGGGACAGGACGTGCTCGAGGCCCCTCGGCGGGAGTTGGAAGTCAACTTGTACATTCATCATCTCTCATTTGTTCTTTTATTTCAACCCGTTGAAACTTGAAGCATGATAGATGTTCACCGGCAATGCTGGTCACGGAGCTCCTTCCCCTTCGCTCTCCCGCCACCTCTGCCTCCTCTTGCTCCTGGTCCCCCCCCCCCCTTCGCTTCCCTTTCCATCTCCCAGTCATCCTCCAGAATCATCGGATAGCCTGACCTCAACCAGATTTGGTATGGAGGAGGAACTCGAAATGTTAGAGAGAGAAGCGAGGGAGGAGGAGGAGCAGGGGGGCTAGAGAGTCAGTGAGGGAAGAATCGACAGCTCCTGGACGTAGGGGAGAAGACGGTTAAGAGAGAGGAAGTAGAGGAGTGGATAAGAGTGACGAGAGGCGGATGAGGACGAGAAGAGCGGCGATGGAAGGGTGGAAGAGAGGAGGAGGGAGGAGGGAGGATGGAAGGAGAACTTGTTCTAGTTGGTCATGTCAGGGGCGAGAGAGTTGATGCTCTCAGTGATGCGAGACATGAGCGAGCGAGAGTAGCTGCCAGAGAAGGTCAGAGAAGAAGTGCAGCGAGTGACGGTATTTCGGCAGACCAAGATGAGAAAGAGGAGAGGAGGGGGGAGATCATGTGAGATAAGGGGAAGGGGTGGAGGAGAGAAAGGAGAGGAGAGGAGAGGAGAGGAGAGGAGGGGAGAGGAGAGGAGAGGGAAAGCAGGACAGAGCGAGAGGGAGAGGAGGAGGAGAGAACAGTAGATGAGGGCAACAGCATGTGTCTACCTGATCGCCAGCTCACTCTTCCCCGGAGCTGGAGAGCTTCGTCCAACCTCGACTGTCGGGTCCCCTCTCTTCCCTCCTGCCCTCCCCGCCTCCTCTTTCTCCTTGCTCGTCAGCCTCCTACTCGCCTTCCTGTCCAAGATGGACTGAACGGACTTGCTGGAGGCAGGAGCGTGCGAGATTGAACGAGCTTCGATGGCACGCTGCACCATCCCTGGGAGGGTTTCCTCCTGCTTACCCCGCTGCTTCCCTCCTTTTCCCTTCCCCTTCCCGCTCTTGGACGGCAAGTCGTCATCCGAGCTGCTGTCCTCCCCGCTGCTGTCGAGGTCCTTGTCGTCTTCGGGGTAGAGGAGGAGGAGCTCCTTGTGGATAGCTTCTACCTGACGTCGAGGAAGGGGAACGATCAGAGTAGAGTAGAGTAGGAGGGATGCTGCGGAGAGGCAGAAAGGGGAGAGGAGGAACAGGGTGCAAGAGGGTGCTTCGACACAGCAGAGAGGAGGAAGAGGAGGAGGGAGGAGGGAGAAGGCAGGGGGAGGGGCAGGAGACAAGCAGATCACCGCAGACTGGTCAGGGTCCCAGAGGTCGAGGAGGGTCGAGCACAGAACAGCTCCCATCCTCTCAAGGTCCTCCACCTTCATATGCTGCCCCGCCTTGGCGCCGAAGTTCGTCCCGGCAAAGGAGCACTCGAGGGTGAAGGAGTTCAGGATGTCAAACTCCCTCCTGACAACCACCCGGCCCGTCGCCTCCTTGCAGCGCTGGACCTTGAAGGAGCAGTCGGTGAAGGAGAAGCACTCGGAGTTCTGCCAGAGCAGCCGCGGGAAGATGCGCTCGCGGAGCCGCAGGTGCTGCGAGCCCCGAGCCTTGTTGTCGCAGCCGTAGATGAAGACGTTCTTCTTCCTCGAGTGGCCGTGCAAGTCGCAGTACATGGCGACCTCGCGCTCCTGGGTCAGGCGCTTGAGGAGCATCTTGGTGAAGAAGATGGTGGGATGGAGCGAGCGGGAGGGGCTCAGCCACTGCCTGTTGAGGTCTTGGCCCGAGAGGGAGCAGCGGTAATTGCCGTTGATGACGCCGTCGGGGTTGAGCATGGGGATGACCTTGAAGACGAAGTTGTCGCGGAGGATCTTAGCGTCGAGGGATGGGCCTGGAGTAGGATGAGATGAAAGAAGAGGGCGAGGAAGAGGAGGAAGGGAGGAGGAGGAGAGGAAGAGGAAGAAAAGAGGAAGAAAGGGAAGAAAGAGGAAAGGAAGAGGAACAGGAAGAGGAAGAAAAGAGGAAGAGAAGGAACAGGAAGAGGAACAGGAAGTGGTGGTGGTGGTGGAGGAGGAGGTACAGTGGATGAGGAGGAGGAGGAGGAGGAGGAGGAGGAGGAGGGAGGAGGAGGAGGAGGAGGAGGAGGAGAAGGAGGAGGAGG